CTTCTTTTTTTTTTGTTATTTTTCTTGATGCCAAGTGAAAAATTCCCATCTAATATTTATTTATATCTTCTTCTTAACCTTTATGTATACGGCAGTTGTGTACTTCTCTGTTCTCCTCCTTCTCTCTCTCTCTCTCTGTTTGTGAGTGAGTGAGTGTCTGTTCTCAGTGTGGGATGACTCTGCAGAGTCGACTGTAATGAATGGATTGAATGAGAGGGGAGGAAACACGTAAAAGTGAAGTGTGGTGCGAGAGAAAAGAGAGGGAAAACTATACAAATGCAGTATACCGGTATATATATATATATGTTTATGTATGTGCATGAAGATATTGACAAGAAGAAAGAAAGCAAACACACACACTCACACACATACACCAAAAAAAAGCAAATAAAAATAAATGACTTATTTTTTTACTATTTAAGAAGAAGAAAAGAAAGTAACCTATAACAGCGAAATGTTTTTTTTTTTTCTTCTTTCTCTCCTACGGCCACGCAGTTTTCCACCATCTGGTGTCTCTTGATCATTACTGCCCCTTCTTCTGTACAGCTGATACTGCTGTAGAAAACCGTATTTACTGTTTCTCTTGTTATCATCATTCTCTTTATTGTGTGTTTGTTCATTCTCCTTCTTCTTCTTCTTTTCTCTTTTTTTTTTTTTTTAACTATTCTTCTAATTATTTTTATTTACTTTACATTTTCTTAAAGGCAGGGTTCTGATTGAGCTCCATCGTCCACAGTATCAAAATAAGGTCTCAGAGTGATGGGCCACTGCGAGTTTGAGTTCTGTTGCTGAAGATATTTGAGGTGAATGTCTACAATAAAAAAAAAAAAAAAACGAAGGACGATAAACTGCGTGAGTTTGAGAAGATGGAAAACGGTTGAGATGTGAAATGACAGTCCTTCACACGTGATGGGAAACAGTAAGTCTGATATCGGTGATTAAAGCCTGTGGGTCTCGTTGTTTTTTTCTGATTCCTAATCAGCTAAATTTTATTACTTTACTGTTGGGAGAAAGATGATTATTATCTCTTTCATATATATATATATATATATATATTTGTGTTAAGTATCTCTAAAGAGGACACCTGCACTTGAAGATTCGATGTGTTTATCGAGAGAAAAGGGATGAGGGAAGACTCCGTAGATCTTTCTTCTGTTCACACTGGCATTGCTACTTTTTTAAATCTCTTTCAGATGTTTTTTTTTTTTTTTTTTTTGCATTCGTTTGAGTTTTTTCTCTTTTTTCTTCCCTAATGGGGCCTGTGTTCTTTTATTATTATTCTCTTTCTTGGCTGAAATGCACTTGTGCATTCCTCCCACTCTATCGGTTCCTCATTCCACTTCTTTTCTTGTTTTAAAATAAGAAAAAAAAGGAAAGATAATATATAGCATTGTTTTTCTTTGGTTTTCTTTGCTGTTCTGTTTTTTTTCTTCTTTTCTTTTAATTCTATATTTTGCTTTTGGATTTACTTCTTATTGTTTTTTTTTTCTTGTTTTTCATTGACTATCCCCGCATAGTATTATTTCCGGTGCTCAGATATATATATTATCTACTATAAATAAATAAATAAATATATATATATATATATATTTGTGTGGTCTAGTTTTTTGCCAATATTTGCTGCATTTTTACACACACCAAATTAGGCTTTTCGTTCCCTTCCTCGTGGATTGCGTAGAGTGTCACTCACAGCAGGGAAAGTAAGTCAGAGGGGGAAAGTAGAGAAGAAGATTTCAAAGAAGAAGAAAAGAAAAAAGGATATACAAGCGAAAAGAAGAAAAAAAGAAAAGAACAGGGGTTGGGGGAAAGTTGTAATATTGCGCAGGGAAGAAAAAAGAAAAAAAAAAGAAAGAAACAAGAAGAAGAGAAAGAAATAAAGATATATTCGCACAGAAGCACACAAAGTAGAGATGCCTGTATTTAAAGACCCCAACCAACGTGTACATATGATTCTACAGCAGCTGGGCTACGAACCAACGCCCATGTACGGCAGTAATAAAGACGAAAAGGAGGACGGCAGCTACACCATGACTGCAGAGACCACCACTACTCCCATCACAACAGCAGCACTAACAGGAATAACGGGAACAGTGGAGGATGAGAACATTGTCGACCCCACACTATCACTAGAGCCGTACTTTGATGATGATGATGATGACGATGATGATGATTGCGATAATCTCTTCTTTGGAAGCAGTACATTTCATAGTTGTAATGATGAAGGCAGTGGGGTTGATAGAAACGGTCTCACCCTCACGGCCAGCACGGTGGATCTTAACAGAAGGAGTGGAGTGACGCCTGGCCCAGACCCACACAACGACACGCAGAGCAGCACCAATCTCTTCATTAGTAACTTTCCCCACAACTATGGCGAAAATGAACTGGAAGCGATGTTTGCCCCTTATGGTGAAATTCTCTCAGCGGCGGTGATGCGTAATATACACACCGGCAAAAGTCGCGGCACGGCCTTTGTTCGCTACGCCACAACAGAACAGGCGAAACGGGCCATTGCGGAAGTGAATGGGCAGAATGTCCGTGGCCGCACCATTTCTGTGCATTGGGCAAAGAAACAACACGATGACACGCCTGTTGGTGAGGCCCGCAAGAAGATCTTCAAACTGTTTGTGCGCAACATCCCACTTGATGTGACGCTGGAACAACTTAAGGAATTGTTCCGCCAGTACGGCCCAGTGAAGGAAATATCAATCCACAAAGACACCGCCCCGAATACCGCCAAGAGTGATGAGCGGCGCATTGCGTTTGTCACGTATCTCGCCGAGGGAGCGGCGGAGCGGGCGGCGGAGTGTGTGCACAACACCCGTCCCTTTCCAAGCAGCGGCTCCATTCCACTCATGGTGAAACTCGCAGAAGATACACCGGAACACTGCCGCCGCCATAACCAGCATTACTACAATAATTATAATATTAATGATGGTAATGGTAATGGTATAATGAGTTCTGGCAGCAGTTCGAATGGCACATGTGCAGGCCGACCTATTTTGTTTGTGAACGGGTTGCCGGAGACGGGAGTTCGCCCTGTTGGTGGGGACGGGCCAATAACAACATCGCCACTACCAGCCATACCCGTTCTTGTGCCAGCGCCTCTGCTCATGCCAACAACAACAATGCCATTCTGCAATCCGATGGTTGCCGGTCGTATTGTCTACATGCCGCCCGTTATTCCGGGCATTGGCGTTGGCGGACCACCATCGTACATCCTCGAGCAGCCGCTGGATTGCTGCGGGGCTGTCGGAGGAGTGCCGATGATGGGCGCCAAGACGGCTGGTGTGAAGTTTGGAGTGCAGACCGCAGGGAATCCCGCGGTGATGTTGACAGACACCGTTGCCCCTTCGTACAGTTCTGCGGGAGCGGCGCCCATGCAAAGAAGTGAATTCACAGGCATGCCGCTTTACATGTCATCTACGCAGAAACCAGCCACCGTGAATGGCTCCGCTGCGATCTACGGCGTTGGAACGGAGGATCCACAACTGCCGCCGTGGAGTTGTCTCGCCCCAAACAGTTCTTCCACCGCTACTGTTCCACATTACTCCTGTTTGGTAAAAGCCCCAGCTGTTCGGAAGGTTCTGAATCCCCCTAATCCCATTGCCGTAGAGTTTATTCCCTCTCATAATGCTGATGAAAATGACAACGTTGGAGGGAAAACAATGGAACTGCTTGGAAAGGAGAAGGCTAAAGGCAAGCATAACAAGACACGCAATCATGTAGGTCCAGTCTCCATCCCTGCTGTTGCTGCCGCTGCTGGAGGCGACAGGAATACAGCAACACAAATGTAAGCTATATTGATAACGAGTATGGGGTTAAAATGAGCTCATGTGCCTTTGAGAGGATTCAAGGATTGGGAGACCTGAGCATGGGCTGTGTTGAGAGCCTTCAATGGTAAAGTAAAGGGATGGACAGCGAAAGAGAAGATTATGTGAAGGCATGTGGGAAGAAAACAAAAAAAAAAAAAGCGTACAGCAAGATACATAACTATATATATATATATATACAGCACTACAACACGTACACCACCAAATGAAGGGGATGGGAAAGTAATTTATTCTTGTTTTATTATTATTATTATTGTTATTATTTTATTTTATTTTTTTTTTTAAAGAAAAACTGGAGAGAAATGAGAATCCGTTTCTACAAGAAGAATGACGGTGTCGACAACAGCAGGAAGTACCTGCGGAGTAAGGAAGAACAGTGTTTCTTTAGAGAATAGAGAGTCAAAAAAAAAAAAAAAAATGAAGGTCGAAAGGGCATTTCTGAACGAAATGTACAGATGTAGAAGTTGCTTAATGGCCCTTACAAAGGGCTATTGGTAGAAGTAGTAGTGTTTTTTTCTTTTTTTCCCCCTTGTATGACCTTTTCATTTGCTTGCATTGTAAGTGTAACTTTCGCTTTTCTCTTTTGTTTTTCTGTGTTGATTGTTTTTTTTCTTTTTTTTTTTTTTTCTTTTGATTTCATTCAACACTTATACATACAGACGGTTGGGGAATATTATTTATGTATACTATTATGTATATCTGTGAGGGTTATCCATTAACTCAGACATGTGTACGTGGATATGAATATACATAAGTGCATGTATGAATTTATAACTTAAACCCTCTGTTTGTATTTGCGTCCGTGTGTATAAATGCACGGCGGAGAAAAACAAAAAAAAGAATACGGGAGAAATTTTCACTTACTATTATTTCATTGATTTTGCTTCTTTTTTTTTT